ATCTGCTTTCTCCATGCCGTGCATGATTGTACAAACGCCTGTCATGCAGCCTCTCTCTCGCTTTTCCTCCAAACTAAAAAGTCCCAAGCACAGCAACCTTTCCTCAGGGTAAGGAAGAAGCAGGAAAAAGAGTGCTGCGACTGATCTTGTTTAGTGTTTGGCTGCACCTAATGATGTTAATGGAGCATTTCTGCATGCAATCAAGCAGATGGGTCATTTTACAAAGCCCCAGAATATGGTGCAGTGCAGGCCACCCACTGCCTTTAAAGCAGTCATGAAATAAGACTATTTGCCCCCACCCCCAAATCTCCACAACTTATCTGAGCTGTTACACGACATGCTGCAATATGCAAGTCTTCCCCCTCCTGCTTCCAGGTACAAATTTCTGCCTTGTTGCCCTCCATGCAACTCTTCAGACGTGTGTTTATCTCAGCAGGCCCGCCAAGCCGGCTATGGCTTACTTGCTTATTATCTGTATAGGGCTTTTGAAAGCTGCTTTAAAATGCCCATGATTAAGTGTACACCAGGGGTGTGATTTACCAGCAGTAAAGGGGTGGAGAGACAATGTATCACACTCTCCATGTCTGCAGGCTTCGTGAGAGGCCAGCTTGGTGGATGAAAGATTCAGACAAGACTGTACCTTTGCCATCCTCCTTTGTCTCCTTGTTCACGTCTGTACCCCTTGCCTCTCTCATCAAGCCGGTCCCCCCTTCTTGGCATTATACCCAGAAATAGCTCGAGATCAGTTCTACACAAAGGGAAAGCATCTCCTCCTCAATGATTTCTTACATTGTTTCAAGGATTTCAGTCAATTTGATCCCACCCTTGAAAATAAAAACATTTTGAAGAATAAAATAAATGCATCAAAAACAATTTGAAAAATATTACTGTTGAGATACAATTAAATGCTTTAAGAACACAATATTTATTTTTAAAAATACAAGCTGTACAAGAGCCAGTGGGGGGGGGAATCACTCATAAGAGCTTTGCAAAAGCAGACTACCTATGATAGTATCATCATACCCTGAGACCTCCGGGTACAGGGCGGTATATAAGTTCAATAAATAATAATAGTAATCAGGGTTGTTCTTTTAGTGAAAGCTAAAAGCCAATCCTGTTGTTTTAAAAAGGAGGATAGAATCATTCCTCTGACATGAGGAATCTCAACTAGATCATACATGGCCATCCAACCTCTGCTTAAAAACGTCCAAGGAAGGAGAGTCCACTGCCTCTCATGAGAGTCTGTTCCACTGTCAAACAGGTCTTCCTGATGTTTAGTCAGAATCTCCTTTCTTGTATCTTGAATCCATTGGTTCAGGCCCTAGCCTCTGGAGCAGGAGAAAACAAGTTTGTTGCATCCTCCATGTAACAGCCCATTAGATATTTGAAGACGAATATTGTATCTCCTCTCAGTCTCCTCTTCTCCAGGCTAAACATACCCAGTTCCCTCAACTGTTCCTCATAAGGCTGAGTTTCCAGACCCTTGATCACATTGGTTGTCCTCCTCTGCACACATTCCAGGTTGCCAATATGCTTCTTAAACCCTGTTGAATTTTGGGGGGAAAGGGTCCTGCTTACAGATTTTGATTTTACAGGCTAGCCAATTCTTTCTTGATTTCTGTCTCTTTTTTATAAGCTGTGCACCACTCATAACAGCAAAAACCTCTCTGTGTAGCTCCCCCTGGCCTCACTTTTTGGAATACCTTGAGAACCATGCCATATCATGTTGCATTGGGCACTCACAAAGCAGTATGGGAAGACCCTCGGTTGGCCAGACATATCATGAGGATCCCTCCATAGCTTATCACTGGCTGTCCTTCCTCGCAATACCTACTTCCCTAGTCTCCCTGTGGCCTCCCAAGCTGCCCACAGTTCTTGATGTGACAAAGCCCCATGTGGGGAGTTAGTTAATTATGTCTTACCCTAGGCTTTAATTAAGATGTGGGCACATGGGGAGGCTGAATCATGCAGAGCACTGGTAAGATTTGTAGTGTGAGATAAGAGACACAAACACCCCTCTCAGCCACCTCAAAAGTAAGGTAAGCAGGGCAGAAACCTTGTGTCGTATCCATGAGAACGTCACTGAAAATTTCTCACCCCTTTGATAATTTCCCAGTGCAATTTCCTTTCTCATTAATTGTTGGAAAAATGATAAAAAGAAAGGCCGGAGAAATGTTCAACCCAGCATTAGAGAGCATGATGCAAACCACTCATAAGGTACATTCAGACAAGGGGAATATTGCATTACCATTTCTGATTATAATGATTGCATTTCTGCCCTGTGTTCTAACATTGCATTCACACTGAAATACCCTGTTGCAATATGAAAGTGTGGTTTTTTGACCCGTATACCGACATGTCACACTAAAATTTCATTCACATCAGTGGGCGCGGTTTAACACAAACATCACGGATAACGTCGCTACTGTCCGCACATGCATGCTGCTGTTCCCCGCTGATTCGCCCATGAAACCAGCTGGAAAGAGCTGTATGCCTGTATACTGCCTCAGATTTTGTCACTTGCTCCCTCAATTTTCTGGGTTAAGAGGGTTGCAAATTGATTTTTTTTTCCCTGAAAGCAATTAGCATGGAAATTAGTGCTAAATTTCCACTATATTCAGCTAGAATTCTGCAAGTGGCTTTTGCATCCGGTGAAAGCTCAAATATAATGTGGAAATTAACAGGTAGGGAAGCTTCGGGGGAAACAGAACACGCTGCCATGTGGAAGTAGCCAGAGTGATGGAGCCTCCAGATTCAGAGACTGAGGACGGGTACCACTGCTCTTGTGTTCTCTCTGCCGTCTTCCTAGAGGCATCTGGTTGGCTGCTATGGGCAACGGGATGATTAGCTAGATAGGCCTTGATGCCTTGACTCTGCCTCTGCATCTGAAACTTAACTGAGGAATCAAGGCCTACCACTCCAACACCCCATCAATCACCAAATGTCTTTTATTTATTTTATATCCTGCTTTTCTCCCAGTGCAGCTCATGGCATAAATTAAAACTAATAATAATAATAATAATAATTTATTTATACCCCGCCCATCTGGCTGAGTTTCCCCAGACACTCTGGGCAGCTCCCAATCGAGAGTTATAAACAATACAGCATTAAATATTAAAAACTTCCCTAAACAGGGCTGCCTTCAGATGTTTTTTAAAGATAAGATAGCTGCTTATTTCCTTCACATCTGAAGGGAGGGCGTTCCACAGGGCGGGTGCCACTACCGAGAAGGCCCTATGTCTGGTTCCCTGTAACCTCACTTCTTGCAATGAGGGAACCGGCAGAAGGCTCTTGGCGCTGGACCTCAGTGTCCGGGCTGGATGATGGGGGTGGAGAGGCTCCTTCAGGTATACTGTACCGAGGCCATTTAGGGCTTTAAAGGTCAGCACCAACACTTTGAATTGTGCTCGGAAACATACTGGGAGCCAATGTAGGTCTTTCAGGACCGGTGTTATGCACTATATATATATTCATAGCCCACCTCTTTCTCTTAGGAGCTCAAGGTGGGGTACATGGTTCTCCCCCTCCTTGTTTATTTCCCACAACAGCCCTGTGAAGTCACTGAGAAACTGCACCTGGACCAAGGTCACCCAATGAGCTTCATGGCTGAGTGGGGGGAATTGGAACTTAATTTCACAGTTCCCAGTCTAAAACTCTAGTGACTGCACCACACTGACTTTTAAGGAACAATCAAATAAGCAATCCTATTAAAAAAGTAATGAAAATACTTAACACCATTTAAAAGTGTGTGCATACACACAAAAGGAACAACACCCAGCCTCAGAAAACCCTGCTACAATAGCCAGTTAGCAGTCAAAGGCCTGTTGGAAGAAGAAGAAGAAAGGCTTTGCTTGCCTGGTGAAATGGAAACAGAGAGGGGGGCCAACCTAGCCTCCCATGGAAGGGAATCTGGAACAGCCACCAAGAACGCCCTCTCTCATGTCCTCACAAGAAGTACCCAAAAAGGTGGTGGGACCAAGAGATAGGCCTCCTCAGAAGATCTCAAAGCCCAGACAAGCTTGTATAGGGAGATACCTTCCTTCAGATAGCCTTGACCCAACCTTCACTACCCTGGAAGTCTTAGCAGAAAAGACAGAAAGACCACCCAGCATTTCTTGAGTACATGGCTCCAAGCCAGGGCTCTCCAGATGAGAGAAATGTGTCTCTACTTCCAAAGGATGGACCTTCTTAAAATAGTAGCATTGACAGGCTGTTTGTTTATAGAAGCTTCAGTGTGACCAGGGCGGTATATTTCACAAAGAAAGGCAAGGAAGGCAAAGAGAGAGAGAAAATAGAGAAAAGAAGGTAAGTTATTGTCCTTGAAGCATTTATTTCCAAGGGTGTTTCTTCAGCAAAACCAATTATTTCCCTTCTCCCCTTGTAGGATGTGGAGCAAATAGGCTGGTATCCAGGGGAGCAACCAAAGGAGCTGCCAAATTTCTCCCCACTTGGAATGGTTGACTTCATGGGTTCTGACCAGGCCTTAAAATGAACTAGTCTGGTTTAATGAAGTTCACTGAATTCATTCAAAATCTATGAACTGCACTTGAAAGTAGTTCCCATAATTGCCAAGTGAACAGGACACGAATCAAGGGGTTTTTTGGGGGGTGGGGTAGAACTTGGAACAATCTGACAGGGAGAGTGAGAAACTAAACTCACATTTACACCAGACATTTAAAGCACTATGGTGCTACTTTAAATACTTATGGCTCCCCCTAATGAATCCTATGTGCTGTATTTTGTTAAGAGTGCTATTGGGAGATCCCTATTACCACCCCCACCCCGTGTCACAATTCCCAGAATCCCCTAAGAAGGGCTATATCTATTGTCAAACTATTATATGAATTGCTCTGCGAGAGAAATACGGGTCTCCTAACATATTTCAGCACATTTAACAGACTACAGCTCCCAGAATTCTTTGAGGGAGGCCATACCTGTTTAGAGTTACAGGTAGGTAGCCATGTTGGTCTGCCGTAGTGGAAACAAAATAAAAAAAAATCCTTCCAGTAGCACCTTAGAGACCAACTAAGTTTGTTATTGGTATGAACTTTCGTGTGCAGGCACACTACTTCAGATACGAAAGCTCATACCAATATCAAACTTAGTTGGTCTCTAAGGTGCTACTGGAAGGATTTTAAAAATTTTGTTTTGACTATGGCAGACCAACACAGTTACCTACCTGTAACTAGAACTAGGTATCTGAAGAAGTGTGCCTGCACACGAAAGCTCATACCAATAACAAACTTAGTTGGTCTCTAAGATGCTACTGGAAGGATTTTTTTAATCCTGTTTAGAGTGTTATCATAGTGCTTTAAATGTATTGTGTGAATGTGGCCTGAGAGGAACCAAAATTGACAGATTTGCCAATTCCTAATTACCACATTTATATCCCATCTTTTTCTTCACGGAGCTCAAGGTAGCATACATGGTTCCCCTCACCTCGTTTAATCCCCATGACAACCTTATGAGGTAGTTCAGGCTGAGAGGTAGTGATTGGCCCAAGGTCACCCAGTGGACATCATGACTGAGTAGGGATTTGAACTCTGTTCTCCAGGTCCTAGTCAAAAACACTTAACTAGTACACCACACTGGCTCTTTTTTAATTAATTAATTTTTATTTTTTAGCCTTGGTGTAAGAAAAAAAAACTATTGCAAAATCTGGAGGTGTCAGAGAACAAACCTTCTGTGTGCAACGCATGAGCTTGAACACTGAGCTACAGCCTTTCCTTGGTCCGCTTGCAAGCCAGACACTTTGCAAATAACCTTGCTTGCCTCAACATTCCACATTCATTACAGATTTGGTAGTTGATGTCTCTAGGGTGCCAGCATGTCATGTTTCTATGGAAGCTTTTCGGTTTGTGTAGCTTGAGGATGGGAACAGGTTTCGTGTTGAGGTGAGGCCTACCGCATGCACACTTGACCCCTCTCCCTTGTGGCTGATTAAAGAAGCCAGAGGAGTTTGGCTGACTGGATAATGGACATTGTAAATGTCTCATTAAGAGTCAGTGTGGTGTCAACAGTTTTAAAATCTGCTGTTGCAAATCCATTTACTGAAGAAAACTTCATTAGATGTCACAGTGCTAAGCTACTATCTCCAGTCTTGGGGAAGCTATTAAAAGTGTGTGTTAGCATTGCAGAGCCAGAGTTTTCCTAAATGACTCATAATCTGGATTTTTTTTGACCCTTTCAGTTTGGCTTGAAAATATTGAGGAAGAAGTGGAGTAGGGTAAGAGTCCTTTTGCCAGTGGTGGTTGGTGCCCATTGAGACCAGTGGGGTGGAAGACAGTTACCCCAGAACCAATGGTAGGTGGAGCCAACTCATTCCAGTATCGTCTTCCATCTTCCCATTGTTGAGTTCTGCAAGGGCAACATTGAGATTAAGGGTCATCCTCTGGAATGGATGCAAGTAAGGATGGGGGTGGGCGGAGATTTGATCCAGTTTGCATTTAATGGCAAACTCACCAAATTCAGGGTTTCTGAAACAATGTGTGAACTGAAACACAGATATCCTTTGGAGTTCTCTGAATTTTGCAATGCTGTTCTTCCGCCAAGTAATGTGCACAAAATACCTATGTTAGGTTAAAGTGTGCATATAAATGTATATATTAGTGAGGAAGAAAATGCAATAATGCATTTTGTTTTGCAAAAATGTTTGCATTTGGCAAAACAGCAGATAAATTGTGTATAGTAGCAGGAATTTGCAAAAAGTGCTGATGAATTTTCATGAGGATTAAAAAAAATCACAAACTGATGCAGAAATGTGAAGAACTGAATGTGATTGGCAAAATGAGAAACAGAGAAAACAAAATTGACATTTTTGTCCATCCTTAGTTGCAGGTAAGAAAGCAAGCAGGTGGGGTTGGGCTGGCTGAGACCACATTGTGGTTGGAGAAGCTGTGCCCCATTTGCCCATATGAACCAGCCTCCACTAAATTTTGCCTTGCAATCCATGTCTGCTGGGTACAATGGGACTTACTCACAGATAAGGGTGTATAGGATTGCAGTCTCTTTCTGCATGCACAGAAACTGTAAGAAAAATTGAACGTGAAACTAGAAACATACCGGTTAAACAGCTTTCCTTCAGTCCCCTACTCCTATCTTTGTTGTAAAATTATCTGTGTTCATTCTGTCTGAGTGTCTCATAATTGTACCAGTTCCACTTGATTTCCAGTGTGCTCACTTGTGTCCTTGTTAGAATAAAAAAAGAGGTCTGAAAGTGACAGGAGCCTGCTTCTTTCTTAGGGGGTCTTCGTAATACTTGCAACCATTCCTCTGAAGTTGTTGGTATCTGTCTCAAGAGACAATGGAGTGCACCTCTGGGGGTGAAGTCAAGCCGCTGGAGAAGCTGTACCCCCTCACTGAAAATGTTGGACACATACATATGTCTCATCATGGAACTCAAAGCAGCATGCATATGTGTCTGGAGAAGCAGGCACAGCATCTCCTTGCTTATGCTGCCATCCAGATGGTCAGCTGCAGATGTGAATCAAACTAACCAGAAGTGGCGATGCAGGTGGCACCACCAAAGAAGGAGCTATGCTGGAGGATAAGCACATGACACGTGACTCATTCAGAGGGATTCCAAGGGGCAAGGGAGCAAGGATGGGGAAGAAATACAGTGGTACCTCGGGTTAAGAACTTAATTCATTCCGGAGGTCCGTTCTTAACCTGAAACTGTTCTTAACTTGAAGCACCACTTTAGCTAATGGGGCCTCCTGCTGCAGCTGCCGTGCAATTTCTGTTCTCATGCTGAAGCAAAGTTCTTAACCCGAGGTACTATTTCTGGGTTAGCAGAGTCTGTAACCTGAAGCGTCTGTAACCTGAAGCGTCTGTAACCTGAAGCGTCTGTAACCCGATGTACCACTGTAACGGAAAGATTAAAGAGCTAGACTACCGGTGTGCCTTGCCGCAGTTACTTAGGACACAGCAAGGAGAGAAGTAAAAGGAAGCAATTCTGACTACCTGAAAGAACATAAGAAGAGCCTGCAGAATCAAGCGGATGGCCCATCTAGTCCAACATCCTGGTCTCACAGTAGCCAACCAGATGCCCATGGGAAGGCTGCAAGCAGGACCTGTGCCCAAGAGCACCCTGTTGTCCTGTGGTTTCCAGCAACTGGTATTCAGAAGCACTACTGCCTCTGACTTGAATGGCTAGTAGCCACTGATAGCCTTGTCCTCCATAATTTCTCCAGTCCTCTTTTAAAGCCATCCAAGTTGTGTGGCAAGTTCCTGCCCCCCCCCAGTGGAAATAACGACACATGACACAATTATTAAGGTTAATGGGCTAAATAAGGCCACAATTTTATTGGTTACAGGTTATGAGCGGTATTGGCTTAGGCATTGGTCCTAACCAACTATATCCGACTTCAGTCCGTCCACTAGAAGTCCGGGAAGGGACCACTAGGGGAAGTCCTGCTGATGCACATCAACTAGGAACTCCCCTGGGGTCACCGCTAGGGGGAGCGCCTTAGGCCCTCACCTCCTTAGGCTTTGAACAAGGCTACGCCCCCCAGAATCCTTTACTGGACTACCCTTCAGTATGCGGGGCAGGTGATGGCATAACCTTCCCTCTTACATCTACAGAGCAATACCAATGCCTAACCACCAGTACCAAGAAAGTTGTGACAATTTGCTATGAGGTAGGCAAAAACCAAGTGGCTGGTGTCAATTTGCCAAGTGGAAAAATTCCTACCAGGCCCCTCAACGGCGACCAACCAAGGTCCATAGCAAGGTCAAAGAACGAAAACCTTATAGGGCGGGAGGGTGGGAAAAACCGGAACTGCTAGTAAGTGGCAAAGAGGGAGATCCCCGGCTGCGTCCTGCTTTAACTAAGGCAGGCCACACCCCCAGAGCCAGCCAATTGGCTGGCCAGGAGGTGACGTGGCCAGGAATCCCCCCAATCACACGGGGGCTGGGTTCCAGCTGCCGTGCATGTGGTGGGGGCTGTGAAGCCCGCAACTCCACCTCCTCCGAAGGGCGGAAGTGGCTTTGGTGGCCAACACTGCCTTCTGTGGCAATAAGTTCTATAGTTTAACTGTGCTAGCTAGCCTGAGTGCTTCAAGGCTGGCTCGCTCTTCCAGAGACTCCCAGAAACTGGCATCCAGAACAATGGAGGCATGCAGTTTGTAGCCATCAAGGCTACCAGCCATAATGAGTGTGAGGATATGAACAGAACTACAAGTGGAAGAAGGGACACAGGTGGTGCTGTGGGTTAAACCACAGAGCCTAGGACTTGCCGATCAGAAGGTCGGTGGTTCGAATTCCCGCGATGGGGTGAGCTCCTGTTGCTCGGTCCCTGCTCCTGTCAACCTAGCAGTTCGAAAGCATGTCAAAGTGCAAGTAGATAAATAGGTACCGCTCCGGCGGGAAGGTAAACGGCGTTTCCGTGGGTTGCTCTGGTTTCACTAGAAGCAGCTTAGTCATGCTGGCCACATGACCCGGAAGCTGTACGCCGGCTCCCTCGGCCAATAAAGCGAGATGAGCGCCGCAACCCCAGAGTCGGTCACGACTGGACCTAATGGTCAGGGGTCCCTTTACCTTTACCTTTACCAGTGGAAGAAGGGGGAATAGTCACACAAAATTTAACCTGCACGGGGCGGGGGGTTTGCTTCTGAGGGTAGCAAGAGTGGTATATTTTGCACCATGCACATACAGTTCTCACTGAATCATTTTTTTGAGGGGGGGACTTAAACCTCCTCCTAGAGACTTAACGCTGAGTGTTTTATGCTTTGACATACTTCAGGTTCTGCATATTATGGCCACAGATTCCTCACCCCTGCTATTTATTTTGGGGTCAATTGACTGGAGAACAAAAGGGAAAGGCACTTTTTCTGTTAACGGTGGCATGATTATTACCAGCAAAAGGCTGGAAAACAGCCCTGTTACCTTCTATTGAAGTATGAAGGGAGAAAATGTGAAGCATTGTGTCGGGGAATCAGATCATTTATGGGAAAGAAGAAATAATTCAACAGAGACTTTTGGGAAAAACTGGACATTATTTGTCCAGTTTTCGGAAGAGAAATAACCCCAGTGAACTAGTACCACTGGATATTTTGGTAATGTGTTAGAATGGACTTGGCTAATATGAAAAGGATGAGAGATTTGTTTGTGGGATAGTTAAGGCACTGCACTATTAAATTCATGTTTGAAAACAATATAAAATTTATTTGTTACATTTATTGCCACCTTTCTTCCATGTTGCTGAAGGTGGTGTCCATTTTATCCTTACAACAACCTTGTGAGGTAGGTAAGGCTAAGAGATCATGACTGGCCCAAGGTCACCCAGTGGGCTTCATGGCAGAGTGGAAGCTTGAACCCTGCTCTCCAAAGGTCCTCATCATAGAACCAGAGAGTTGGAATGGATCACAAGGATCATCTAGTCCAGGCATAGGCAAATTCTGCCCTCCAGCTGTTTTGGGGCTACAACTCCCATCATTCCTAGCTAACATGACTAGTGGTCAGGGATGATGGGAATTGTAGTCCCAAAACATCTGGAGGGTCGAGTTTGCCTATGCCTGGTCTTGTCCAACCCCCTGCAATGCCCAATGTGGGGCTCAAACTCATGAACCTGAGAATAAGAGTCTCGTGCTCTATCAACTGAGCCATCTCCAGTCTCCAATCACTACACCACACTGGAATTCTAGAGACCCATGCAACAGCCCCTGATGATGGTTATCTTATTGTGCCTTAAGAATGGGTTCTGTCCCATGTAGCAGTAAGTTAAACTCACTTAGCCATATACTTGTTCCACTGGCAAAACGATTTGTTCCAGAGGAATTTTCCACGAGTGAATTGACAAACCTTTTGGTGGTAACTTGGTTGCATAATAATTGTTACCGTCTGTTGTGCAATGCGATTCCACTAGCCCAGCTGTTGTGTTGGATCCCTTTGTCACACAACATCAAGACTCAACTGTCTGCTAGCACAACAGCTCTTGCCCTACAAGACAGGGAAAGCTGGATAGAGCCCTCTGTCTCTTTGGTCTATTTGTGAAAGTCAACCCTTGATATTATTCAGGTGATGAACATGCCTGTATGAAGAAGAAGAAAAAGAAGAAGAAGAAGAAGAAGAAGAAGAAGAAGAAGAAGAAGAAGAAGAGGAGGAGGAGGAGGAGGAGGAGGAGGAGGAGGAAGAGGAGGAGGAGGAGGAGGAGGAGGAGGAGGAGGAGGAGTTTGGATTTGATATCCTGCTTTATCACTACCCTAAGTAGTCTCAAAGCGGCTAACAATCTCCTTTCCCTTCCACCCCCACAACAAACACTTTGTGAGGTGAGTGGGGCTGAGAGACTTCAGAGAAGTGTGACTAGGCCAAGGTCACCCAGCAGCTGCATGTGGGGGAGTGGGGACACGAACCCGGTTCACCAGATTATGAGTCTACCACTATTAACCACTACACCACACTGGTTATGACTAACAGATGTTCATCACCTTGGGCCATGTGTGCAAGAAGATTAATTAAGGAGGATTACCTATCGTCCTGCTCACTGGAAGGACAGCTCCCCAAGCTGAGGCTGCAATACTTTGGCCACCTCATGAGAAGAGAAGACTCCCTGGAAAAGACCATGTTGCTGGGAAAGATTGAGGGCACAAGGAGAAGGGGACGACAGAGGACGAGATGGTTGGACAGTGTTCTCGAAGCTACCAGCATAAGTTTGACTAAACTGCGGGAGGCAGTGGAAGACAGGAGTGCCTGGCATGCTCTGGTCCATGGGGTCATGAAGAGTCGGACATGACTAAACAACTAAACAACAACATCCTATCTTCCTGGTTGGAGGCCAATAATGTTTATGAATGCCAGTTACTGGAATCTGCAGGAAAGGAAGGTACTATTTTGCTAAGGACCTGTTTGTGGGTTTCCCATTAAGGTATCTGGTTGGCCACTGTGAGAAAAGGATGCTGGACGCGTTGGGCCGTTGGCCTAGTCCAGCAGGTTCGTCTTATGTCCTTTTGTTCTGGTGGTGATGATTAAAACATTTCTTCGACATTGCTGGGAAGAAGAAGAAGAAGAAGAAGAAGAAGAAGAAGAAGAAGAAGAAGATTTTATTTATACCCCACCCTCCCTGGCCAACACTGGTGGCTAACACTGAATATAAATACAGTAAAAACATTAAAAACAAAACAAACAAAACAAACCAAACGGTTGATTAAAATATAAGTTAGAATACAGTTTAAAATGCAGCTTAAAATGCAGCCTCGTTTTAGTGGTAGCCTATAGATCAAAGCCATAAGAGGAGAAAATGTCCAATATTCACCCGGGCCAACTATCCATGCTGGTCCTACATGGGCCAGCAAAAAGAGCCGAGGGAAAATTTATATACAAATCCCATATAAGGGGTTCCATCAAAAAAATAAAAAAATGAGGGGGGCGGTTACCAGCCCAAAAGCTAGGCAGAACAGCTCCGTCTTGCAGGCCCTGCAGAAAGATGTCAAATCCTGCAGGGCCCTGATCTCCTGCGGTAGGGCATTCCACCAGGGCTGAAAAAGCCCTGGCCCTGGTTGAGGCCAATCTAACCTCCTTGGGGTCCGGGACTTCCAAAGTGTTGTTATTTTATGGACCTTAAGGTCCTCCATGGCGCAAACCAGGAGAGACTGTCCCGTAGGTATGAGGGTCCTAGGCCGCATTACCTACAAATAACTGATTTCTTTATTGCACCCATCAGGTCTGGCCCAAGGTTTTTTCCTACCTGAAGCAAAATACAAGACTACACCAGCTTCCAGCTCCAGGTACAGAAACCACCTGAGCAGGCAGCTGAATTTCACTTCAGCAGGAGTGAGAAGGCAATGACCTCCACTGGTTCTGAGGGCAACAGGGACTCAGCTAGATTGGTAAAGAAGAAGCGTTTTATATGTGATATAACACTGTGGCACCAGATGACACTGTGGAGTCTGTCTTTCCCTACTGGATTTCCCTGTGTGAGTTTACAACCTGCTTAACCTAATCGCTTCTTTGACGTCTAGATCCAGCCCAGGTTAGTTTGGTGATTTGCAGCAAGCTGTTCATTGGACATACAACTCTGCCCTCCAATAATTCATCAGTAGCATTTGTGCCCTCAGCTTCCGCCACCTGAGGTCATTGCCTCACTCTGCCTAATGGTAGGGCCAAAGTGAGTGCTGGCTCTTTCAACTTATACCTTCATTGTTGACTGTGGAATTTTCAGCACAACGTTGAAGGAAGTGATAAAAGCAAAGGCCATGCACCAGATTTGGCTGAGTTCCAAGCAAAATCAGGCATCTTTGGAGAGATTCAGGAGTTGACTGAGTTGGGCTGAGATAGACACAGATTGCTCTGGGTTCAATTTTATGTCCCAGAGTGATTTGGGGTTCTTAGGGTGGGTGCATCAAACAAGAAGGGGAAGCAGGCATCAGGCAGGAAAACCCCACAAAAAGGCCAGGATCTACCTAACTGCCACCTGCATTTCCTGGAAGTAGGCAGGAGCCCAATGCTGACTGAATCTCCTTTCAGCGCCATCCCTGAAGCAGCACCCTGCAGGATTGAAACTTCCATGCAGCAACTGCTCAACAGAGGCACTGATTCACCATGGTGAAGGCTGTTCATTTGCAAGTGGCTTCCCTGCAGGAAAGCAGCACCCTACAGAATTGATCTTCCCTCCTGCTCTCCGTTGGGAGAGAGCAGGAAGGAGTTGCATTTTTTCATTCCCACACCCTCCTCCGGGCTGTATGTTTCATTAGGTTTCTTTAAGCAACCCTAATTGAACAATACCCTGACCTCTAAACCATGGGTAGGCAAACTAAGGCCCAGGGGCTGGATCCGGCCCAATCGCCTTCTAAATCCTGGCCGCAGACGGTCCGGGAATCAGTGTGTTTTTACATGAGTAGAATGTGTCCTTTTATTTAAAATGCATCTCTGGATTATTTGTGGGGCATAGGAATTCGTTCATTTTTTCCCCCTTTCCAAAATATAGTCTGGCCCCCCACAAGGTCTAAGAGACAGTGGACTGGCCCCCTGCTGAAAAAGTTTGCTGACCCCTGCAAACTCATTCAGGACCAAATCCAGGGTGGGTTGTCCCTGGGTTCACCTAGAATAGGTTAGCCTTATTGGGAGCCCCACAGATTAGGGCCACAGGGTGAAGGGGGGGCAGGGGCTGTGCAGAGCCCTAGTAAAAACTGCAGCTTAAATACAACTCTCCAAATGCAAGTCATTGAAGCTAGATTCATCCTTCATGGAGCATAATTAAGTTGAGGGGAATTACACCTGGGGTGTCTTTAGTATTCTTCCTGTCCTCAACTCTCCAGTTAATTTAATGCTCTCTTTCCGAAATAAAATAAAAAAAATCAATGGAGAAAAACATACGCACACACTTCATTTATTCAGCCAAGAAAGAGATACAGTATTAAAAGAAAATGTCTCCTTGTTTTATAATACCTCTGGCAATAACACATTGAAATTGTTGGAAAAGAAATGATTATATCAGAAGCATCAAACACTGAAACACTGGGAAAAAAATTCATATATATATCCCCAAACATAAGAGAGAGAGAGAGAGAAAGCTCTACCCTTCATAAATAATATACAAAAGCCCTTCAACCACTGCAAATTCAATACACACTTATTAGGATGTCACTGGACTGCAGAAGAAATCGGTATTTAAAAAAGAGGCAGAAGAAATGGCCCCAAAATGTCAGAGTCTGCAGAATTCTCAAAGGACCCCCATGCCCAAAGAACCCTCAAGAAGAAATGGTAGCAAAGAAGGGCTATGTGCCTTTGAAATAGTGATGGAAATAAGAATGTTAGACGAGGCACTGGATCAGGCCAATGGCCCAATCAGTCCAACATCCTCTTATCTCAATGGCCAACCAGAGGCCTATGTAAAGCCCACAAGAAGGACCAGAGTGCATCAGGGCTCTCCCCAATTGTGACCCACAACTGGTATACAGATGCATACTCTGATGTCATTGTGATGCAAGGTGATTGACAGGTGAGTACCCCACCCATCCAACAAGCTTTGTCTCATACCCTCCAACATTTTTCTGATGAAAATAGGGACACCCTATTCCATACCCTCCAACATTTCTCCAAGGAAAATAGGGACGTCCTAAGGAAAAGTGGGACATTCCGGGATCAAATCAGAAACCAGGATGGCTTCTGTAAATCTGAGACTGTCCCTGGAAAATAGGGACACTTGGTCTGTTGTCTATGTGGGTGTCAGGCTCCGGGGACTTCGCTTTCTCCCCTGCTTTGGCTGTAGATAAGCAGGACAAAGCGAAAAGAGTCCCTTTACCATTTAAAGAGTCTTTAATGATCACAGCAAAAGAACAAAGCAGCCATTCTCGGAATGAAGGTGTTCCCAATTAAGGATTCCACCCACTTCCACCCTATTTACTTCCTTCATGCAACCTGATCTCACAACCACCGTGCTTTTTGTGTAGCCACCTTATCTGCTCTACGTGACCTTGGACTGACACACTGAATACTTTCAAGCGAGAGAGAATCTGTTAGCTCTCTCTCTTCCAGTTCTTCTTCACTTTGCTGTTCACCCCCCAGTTCTTCCCAACGTTTGTCTCCAGAACTATGCCCTTCTGCGAACCACTGTTCCAAATCTATACTGCTCCACTGTGGGATATTAAAAAAAACCTGTTGTTGTTGTTGTTGTTGTTGTTATTTATTTGGACGTGAGGGCGATCTGGCTGCAGCATCTGTCACCCCATTGATCGCCAGGGTTGATTTGGCTGATTTCTCTGGCTAGGCGGGTGTTCCCACCCTCCATGCACGCCTCTCCTGAAGCTGTGCACTCAGTGGAAGAGGACACCCATCCCAGACAGAAGGAGTGTACCATTCTTCAGTCAAGGGTATACAATAGCTGCTCTCCCCATTCATCTATCTATCATCTATCTATCTATCTGGGTGGGACGCGGGTGGCGCTGTGGGTTAAACCACAGAGCCTAGGACCTGCCGATCAGAAGGTCGGCGGTTTGAATCCCCGCGACGGGGTGAGCTCCCATTGTTCGGTCCCAGCTTCTGCCAACCTAGCAGTTCGAAAGCACAAAGTGCAAGTAGATAAATAGGTACCGCTCCAGCAGGAAGGTAAAAGGTGTTTCCATGTGCTGCTCTGGTTTGCCAGAAGCGGCTTAGTCATGCTGGCCATATAACCCGGAAGCTGTCTGCGGACAAACACCGGCTCCCTCGGCCAATAAAGTGAGATGAGCGCCGCAACTCCAGAGTCGGTCACGACTGGACCTAATGGTCAGGGGTCCCTTTATCTATCTATCATATCTATCATATCTATCATATCTATCATATCTATCATATCTATCATATCTATCCATCTAGAGGCAGATTTTTGCTCCCTTTCCTAACCTTAAAAATTCAGAATGCTTCTATGTGTGTTCCTGTGTAATCCGGAATGGCTTCTGGATGAAAAGTGCTTGAATATATGTTAGAAATTCATTATTCATTGCATTTTCCAATGGATTATACACACTTTGCTGCCCATCAAGGTCAGCAAAAGGAGCAAATCTTCCCTCCTCCTGTCTCTGATGAGCTATTCCCTATGAACTGTAAATCGAACAAATCTTCTTGTATTGGGTTTAGTCAGCAAGAAAAAAGAGTGTTTTTTATGTTACGCTGCAGAGGTGCCAACTGGAATAAAATATAGTGGGGGCCCAGGTAAGCCCCACCCTGCATAATCAATCACATGATGCAGTGCACACCCACACCATATGGATGGGGATGCCCATCAACTTTGTGGGGGCCCAGCCCCCCCATATATTTTATTGTGGGGACTGAAGCCCCCATGGCCCCTAGGAGTTGGCTCCTATGTTACTCTGGGCACATGAGGCTGGAAATCATAGCTGCCTTTCTGTCTGTGCTTTTGTGAACCTTCAGCTTTTACAAGGCCACATTACCTGTTTTCAGGAAGGGTAAGAGTTTAATTTATTTATCTGCTGTTAAAAAGGCAAGTGGGGGATTATATGCCTAAAAGCTTCTCTGCATTAAAAAATAAAGCTCCATTGTCAGCCTGTCCAATTTCAGCACCTTATTTTGCAGTTGGTGACTCTGAGGAGACCTTTCCTTCTGTTTTCAGAAGCGGAGGGTGAAATAAATAAATACCTGCCTGTGGAAAACCAGCATGTCAAGAGAAGCAGTCTAGCTTTCTGCCTAATATGTTAGATTTCTACATGCAAGGAGGTTTTGTGTGAGGGAAACATTCACATATGCAACCCCACACATACATATGTAAGGGTCACATATCTATGAGAATAGTGTATTTGCTTATAACATGATAAAGGTAAAGGGACCCCTGACCATTAGGTCCAGTCGTGGCCGACTCTGGAGTTGCGGCGCTCATCTCGCTTTATTGACCAAGGGAGCCGGCGTACAGCTTCCGGGTCATGTGGCCAGCATGACTAAGCCGCTTCTGGTGAACCAGAGCAGCTCACGGAAACACCGTTTACCTTCCCGCCAGAGCGGTACCTATTTATCTACTCGCACTTTGATGTGCTTTCAAACTGCTAGGTTGGCAGGAGCAGGGACCAATCAACGGGAGCTCACCCTGTCACGAGGATTCGAACCACCGACCTTCTGATCGGCAAGCCCTAGGCTCTGTGGTTTAACCCACAGCACCACCCGCATAACATGATACCTCCACTCAAACACCAGCATATATATACACACACACACATACACCTATCAAATATGTAATTTATTTATGGTCTACTGACCCCAAATAAAATTAAAAAGTAAAACTGTATCAGTTTCAGTTTATTAGTTAATTTTTCTAGTAGGGCTGTTTCCCATACTATTTGGTACCATTGGTCCATGTTTACTCCTGACAGGTCTCTCCAGTGTCTGGTTATGGTGTTTCTGGCTGCTGAAAGTAGGTGGGTTATGAGTTCTTTGTGGTGTAAATGGGCATTGTTGTCTTGGAAGATGTTTAGTAGGGCCAATTCTGGGGTGATGTCTATTACTTGCTTAGTTATTTTACATATTTCTTGTATGGCTGTTGTCCAGAATAGTTGGATTTTGGGACACTCCCACCACATGTGGAGGTATGTGCCTGTGGAGGTGCACCCTCTCCAGCATTTTGGTGAGGTTCCTGGGCCAACCCCAACCTCTCTCACCACCAAAGGAACACAAGTGAACAACACAAGCAACGCTGACACCAAACTCTACATACATTAAACATAATAGAAACACCGCCACCCGACCCCACCCCCATCCATCTTCCCTCTCTCCACCCCCTTTCTTTTTTCCTTTTTTTTTTTCTTCTCCCCCCTAATGCCTCAACAAATGAAATGGATTTGTAAAAATGTTACATGAAAAAATATATATACGAGGCAGTACACTTACTTCTGTAAAACAAGAAAATCCTTAATAAAATATTTAATAAAAAAAAAAATAAAATAAAAGTCCTTGTCACCCCAAAAAAAAAAAAAAAAAAAAAATTAAAACTGTAAAAGTGACAAAATATAAAATAGTAAGGTTGTTAAAGGTTGAGAGAGAGTCAAAAAGCAATCATAGATTGCCTGGGCCCAATTGCTACATTTAGGAATTTTGCAAATGGAATTAAATTTTGCAATCACGTTCATGCCACAAATGTAGATTTTAAGTCTAAGCACCAGCTCAACTCCCATACCTGTACTCACTTATGCAGGGAAAGAGGCAAAAGATATTGACAACCCTTGAGTTTTTAAACATAAGTTAATAACTTGAAAGGTGGAGTGACCCAGACCTGCCACCACCACCTCTTTAGTCAGAGTAAAGGTAAAGGGACCCCTGACCATTAGGTCCAGTCGTGACCAACTCTGGGGATGCGGCGCTCATCTCACTTTATTGGCCGAGAGAGCCGGCGTACAGCTTCTGGGTCATGTGGCCAGCATGACTAAGCCGCTTCTGGCAAACCAGAGCAGCGCACAGAAACGCCGTTTACCTTCCTGCCGGAGTGGTACCTATTTATCTACTTGCACTTTGACATGCTTTCGAACTGCTAGGTTGGCAGGAGCAGGGACCGAGCAACTGGAGCTCACCCCGTCACGGGGATTTGAACCATGACCTTTAAGTAGCTTAAAAGGGGTAAATAAAAGTCCCATTAGTAAAGGGAGAAAGGGTTCTTTGCTTGTTTTTTTCATATTTACAAGGATGGCTTTGGAGTCTAAGCCTACATCATGGGAGCTAGTTTCATGAATGCTTCATAAGAATGTCAGAGCTTGGGGGTTCAGTGGGAAACCATGAAAAGGACTTCCCCCTGACTATCTGATAGTCTCAACGTTGCCCTTTGCTGGCTGGAGGCATGCAAGGTTGCTTATACCCAACAACAACTAAGACCTGCAACAAACTGTTGTAGCGTGGAATGTTCAAGATTCCAATCTCCTTCCTTATTGACCTTCTTCCCCCTCCCCAACAGTCAGGTAACACTCTGTGGCCACTCTAAACAGCCCTCACTGGGATATGTTAAGTCCTTCCACCTCAGAGTCTGCCTCCCCAACAAAAAAGTTTGGCATATTCCTGAAAACCTTGGGATTCCCCAAGCCTACTGATCCCACTCACCCACCCCTGGTGCATTATTTTGGCAAAATAATTTTGAAGACATTGTGTTTTTGTCATGGATGCTGAGGTGTGGTGGGAGGAACCAGTTGCCTGGCAAGGTGCCAACCCCCCCCCCGTAGTTGAATAAAGACACTTGACACCTGTATTTAAGATTGATGGGCTAAAAAAGGAAGCCACAGCTTTATTGGTTACAGATTGTGAGTGGTATTGGATTAGGCATTGGACCTAACCGACTATATCTGACTCCTGCCCGTCTGCAGGGAATCCGGGAAGGGTTAACCACCAATAGGGGGAGTCCTGCCGATGCACATCAACTAGGAGCTCCCCTGGGGGTCACTGTTAGGGGTCGTGCCTTAGGCTCTAGCCTCCCTAGGCTTCGGACAGGGCCACGCCCCCTGGAATCCTTTAACAGAATACCCTTCAATGCGAGGGGCAGGTGATGGCGCTACCTCCCCTCTTCTCTTCTCCAGTAATATTCCAATGCCTAACCGCCAAACCTTACAAAGTTGTGACAATTTGCTATGAGGTTGGCAAAAACCAAGTGGCTGGTGCCAATTTCCCAAGTGGAAAAAGTCCTACCAGAACTCCACCTCCTCCTTAAGGCGGAAGTGGCTTTGGGGAACCCCCTATGGAACACTCAGGTGAAGAAGACTCAGAGCCAGGGGATTGCTGATGGTGGTGACGAGTGGTCAGAGGGAGAAAAAGAAGCAGACTGGGAGGAGGAAGGGTCAGCAGCAGGAGAGGTGACAGGGTTTAGTGAGCAGGAAGAGGCTGTGGCAGAGAGCAGTTCAGACTTGGAGGCTGAAGCAGAGGCTGGAGGGGAGGGTGGACAAGAGGCAGAGTGGAGACATGGTGCTGAAGGATCCAGGGAGTCTCCCCCTCCTGCCGCGACCAGCTCCCCTCCCCCTGGTCCCCTAAAACTCACAGAGAAATGAAACAGGCAAAGAGGATGGTTGTGTGCAGACACAGCCTCAGACTGTGTGGGGAAGACCCTGGTGAGCAGGAGTCCTAGGGCACTGGGAAAGCGGGGACTTTCAGTCCTCGCAACTGCTTCCTTGGGGAAGACCGCCTAGAAAGAGTTGCTGAGACCACTAGGACTGAGCTGTGGTAGTTTCCTTGACTAAGTAGTTAACTTCACTGGCCTTGGGTGAGTTATTGCTTTGCTGATGATCTACACTTGACAGTTTGTTATAGAACTTTTGCTTCAGTTACCCATGTGACTTAAGTGTGGGAGGAGAGAGAATGGCCGGGTTTGTGTTGCTCAGTGGCAGAGCTTCACATGCCTTGGAAGCAGAAGGTCCCAGGTTCAAGCCCCAGTATGAAGCCCTGGAGAGCTGTTGCCAGTCCGTAATGGCAATATTGAACTTGATAGACCAATGACCTGATTTCCATTATTCCTAAGAACAAGAGCCCAGGAAATGGGGCTAAACAGGACTGGCAGGGGGGAGAACATTTGCTTGGCCCCCATTAAAACCACTACTTTCAACCTGTTCTCCTCAACTTCCCCGCTCCCTCCATCAGCTAAATTGGAGAATATTTATTACTGGTGCCATTATCATGTTTGACCCCACCTTGTCTTAGCATCTGGTGGAGAATGGCATCTCTGACTATTAAAGCAAGCCCAATTATTTGACTCCTTTTTCTACTGGTCTTCTACATGTACTGCTTGGGGAAGACGTGGCAGTATTCAACTCCTCCCCCACCCTGTGTCCACTAGATTTTTTTTTTTTTTTAAGTAATAAATCCCACAGTGATGGAGCCACTGCCTTAAGGGCAGGAGCAGAAAGGCTCATCCCTCAAGACTGCAATTTGCATGAGCTGAGCATCATACAGGGGACTGTGAATCACCATTCTATTAATGAGCCGATTGTGTTAGCATTTTAAAGTCGGGTAAGCACATCTGCAGCATGGCAGACGAAACGTTTCTGCATTTCTGCATCCCAGAGGCATCAAGGCTAATGAGATGCTTCCTGTTAAATAACTATGAATAGTGTGTGTGTGTATATATATATATATGTATGTATATAAATATATATATACAAATATAGAGAGAGATCAATAAAACATTCAAGCACATTTTTTTAAAGAACAGCTTTTAGGAAACTGGAGTGGTGGTGGGGGAGGGAGTGTTACTTCTTCCAATTAAGCCAGTCAGCACGTAGGACATTTTCATCAGGTTTTCATCAGATGGGAGCTTTTCCCATCACCAATTTCCGTGGCTTACCTCTTCATTCTGGGAGGGCACCCTACTACTTTCTCACTCCATTTAACCCAGCCCAAACACTTCCTTTCCACCGTCTGCCATTCAAATCTTTGCAAAAGAAAAAACCCTAAAAAACCTCCAAAACTCCGACTCCATTTGGGCATTTGGCTGTGAATTAAATACATATTAATTCCCAAGTAATACATTTGTACTGTCACATAACGTTCCCCTGGAATACAATTTTCCATCGAATGAACTTTATTCACCGTGCAGCACGGTAGCTGCACCCACAATAATGTCTTTTTGGATTTATTCATTACCTGAATTGTACTGATATGCCAGACTCTGGTATTTTAGCAGCGTTAGATTTTGTGGTGTGTGTGTGTGTGTGCGCGCGCAAGGCTGGTCTGATACGCTGGTAGCTTCTCCTGCGTTCTCCATGGAGATGCTGAGAATTGAACCCAGGACATTCTGCTTTCGTCCACCAAAGCCTTACCTATTTGAACTTCACAGGACGAGGAGTGTACTGATGTGCCAGACACTGGCACCTCAACGGGGTTAGATGCTTTTAAACAAGAATGGGCCTGATCCTCTGGTAGCTTCTCCTGTGTAAGCCCAGGTGAAATGAGCACTGTACGAAATAGCTTGGTAGAAGAGAAGATAATTCTGATGTACCTAGGCTGCATCAACAGAAGTATAGTGTCCAGATCTAGGGAAGTAATAGTACCACTCTATTCTGCCTTGGTCAGACCACATCTGGAATACTCTGTCCAATTCTGGGCACTCCAATTTAAGGACGATGTTGACAAGCTGGAACTTGTGCAGAGGTAGAGTTGCCATACATGTCTGGTCTAGATTTTGGTGAGTTTCCTTTAAAATAGCTTAAAAACTTTGCCCCCCCCCCCCAGGTATGTTTAGCTTGGAAAAGAGGAGAGTGAGAGGAAATATGGTAGCCATCTTCAAATATCTCAAGGGCTGTCACAGGGAAGAACATGGAGCAAGCTTGTTTTCTCCTGCTCTGAAAGGTAGGACTCTAATCAATGGCTTCAAGTTACAAGAAAGGAGATTCTGATTAAACGTCAGGAAAGAAATTCTGACAGTAAGAGCTGTTCAACAATGTAACAGACTCCCTCAGGAGGCTGTGGACTCTCCTTCTTTGGATGCTTTTAAGCAGAGGCTGGATGGCCATCTGTCATGGATGCTTTAGTTGAGATTCCTGCATTGCAGGGATTTGGACTAGATGACCTTTGGAGTCGCTTCCACCTCTACATTTCTGTGATTCTATGATTCTATTTGTTCACATAGGAAAGGCCTGCCTTTGTCTATTATGCATGAGAGTTCAATGGAGCCTCAAGATTTAGAGGCATTACAGTGGTACCTCAGGTTAAGTACTTAATTCGTTCTGGAGGTCCATTCTTAACCTGAAATTGTTCTTAACCTGAAGCACCACTTTAGCTAATAGGGCCTCCCACTGCTGCTGCGCCGCCGGAGCACGATTTCTGTTCTCATCCTGAAGCAAAGTTCTTAACCCGAGGTACTATTTCTGGGTTAGAAGAGTCTGTAACCTGAAGTGTATGTAACCCGAGGTACCACTGTATATCTCTAAGGCTCCATCTGCATGATACATTCATACCAGCACCATACCACTGTAAACAGAATGGCTTTACCCTCAAAATCCTGGGAAGTATCGTTTGTTGAAGGTGCTGAGAGTTGTTAGGAGACCCCTGTTTCCTTCAAAGAGCTACAGTTCCCATAGTGGTTTAACAAACAGTCCCTCTTCCCAAGGAACTCTGGGAATTGTTCTCTGAAGGAAATAGGGACTGAACAATCAATACTTCTTCCTTGGAAACTCTTGAAATGAAGGTCCTCTTCTGGTCTTGTCACCTTGGGTATATGGAATGAAGGTGAAAGCATATTGTCCTTCACAAGGGAGCAAGGCCGGCTTGTGGGTCTGACAGTGGGACCTCCTTCAGACTGAGGGCCGCATTCTCTTCTGGGCAACCTTTTCAGGGCCAGGTACCAGAGCTGGGTGGGACCAAAGCAAGTGAAGCAATAAATGCATAATGTATCTTTGCACAGTGGGTTAGCATACCCTCCAGCATGCCCCAAAGAAAAACCAAGACGGGCGTCTTTTGGGGCTGAGCTCCTGTGCAAATCACGTCACACACAAGAGAGCACGCCCCACCAAAAAATGCACACCTTTTGGGGCTACAATCTCCCAAGAACCACGTGACTCATGTGACAGAACAGGCCCCCAAAATGGGAAGTCCCACTTAAATTGAGACCATTGAGGGTGAGGGGGTGGCCTGTGAATTGCTCTGAGGGTCAGGCAAAGAGGCCTGGGGGGGTACATTTAGCCCGTGGGCCTGAGTTTCCCCACACCTGGTTTCAGGAACCCCTATCTGTCAACTTTCCCTCTTTGAACTGCACCTCCCCCCCCAGCAAACTGAAATTTCCTCCCGAACTCCCAGCAAGGCTCTTTCTCGTTCACATCTCATTCTGCCCAGACAATGGCAGTGAGCAAAGTCTGTGTGCCAAAATAGAAAAAGTATCGATCTTACCATGAAACCCGCACTGAGCGGGTCCTTTTTAATTATATTTTCTGGCTCGTGCCTGTGCATCTTTCCCTTTGTCAGATCCTGTCTGTCTGTCCGCAGGCCACACACCGGAACTCCACCGGAGCCCCCTCTGATCTCTTGGAGTCAATTTGCAGCCTTCCAAAGAAAAAGAAAACCCAGAGACAGGATCTCATGCTGAACAAGATTGATGGGCTAATAATGTGTGTCCATCTCTCTCACTAAAACCATCAGCATCATTTACAGTGTCAGCTGTAATTGTGTTGTCTCCTAAGAGGGGAAAGAATGACACAGCCATTGTCCTAATGAGTCAAGAGGCACTATCCCTTGGTGTGACACAGTTTGATAGTTCCATGGAAGGGGGGAACCTTTCTTGAAAAGTGTGTGTGTGTGTGTGTGTGTGTGTGTGTGTGTGTGTGTGTTGTTGGGGGGGAGAGACCAGTGCCAATGAGCACAGGCAGTAATTAGTTGTCAGAAAATAATTAGCGACAGAAGCACCTCCAGGCAAGAAGTAGGAACTGCTCCTGTTATTTCTGCAAAGGTAGAATGACCTCACTTAGTGCCTATTATCTGGTGTTTTCCAGGTGTCTTATTAAATTCTGCATTGCCAAGATCTCCAGGAATTGGCACCACTATATTCCAATGTTTTTTACCAAGGCAACGGCAGCGCAAGAGCAATTGCTTAAGAGATTAATTAACTTGTCAAATAATTAAGCAGACAGCGCTGTAATCGAGGTTTCGGTTTCATAATTGATTTATCACTTTTGTAGGACTGAAGTCCTTTTTCTCCCTCCCCCCTCCCCTTTTCTGACGGACTGAAATATCTATTAAATATCAAGTTATCTTAGATTTAAAGACAAGTTCTTACACATTTAATAGAATTATCCACTGGGTTTCTGGACTGGGGGGAGGAATACGTGATCCACTGTCACACAAAAAATAGATCAGGCATTGCTTCAAAATAACTTTTATCCCACAAAGGACCAAGGCAGACTATTAGTCCACATAGATCTGTATTTAGGCCAACCAGTGTTCCCCATATTGCCTTGCAAAATGTGTTTATTGGGCTCCATCTGCACTATGCAGGGAATGCAGTATCACATCATTGTGAAGAATCATGGCTTTCCCCAAGTTAAGGTTAAGGATGGTAAGAGCAGTTCGGTTGTTTCTCAGATTGTTTTAACAGTCAATCCCTCTTCTCAAGCAATTCTGAAAATTGTAGCTCCTAACAACTCTCAGCACCTTTACAAAACTACAGTTCCCAGGATTCTTTTTTTTTGGGGGGGGGGACCATGAATGTTTGAAGTGGCATTACAGTGCTTTAAATATATGGTGCAGATGGGGCCTTAGTCAACATGGCATACAAAAATGTGTTTATTAGGAGAAATTTGCACCAAGATTTTTGGGCACCTTTGGAAAGAAGAGTGGGATAGACATTTTAAAAACGAACTAACGAAATCCTGGTGAATTTTAATGAGGGTCTGTTTGTGTCAAAATATGGGAGACTGGATTTAAGATTGGAAAAATGAGAAACTGAAGATTTGCCCACTCTAAACAAAACCTGTTGCCATTTTGGCAAAACAGCAATTTGGGTAGGGGTTGTTCCAGCCTCAATAATAGCTAGGCTGCCTTCCCATGGCCTACTTGGATATCTGATTCCCGCAAACCCTGGAGAGGTCACCAAACCCTTAGAAATGAAAGAGACAAGCCCATCACACTGACAGAGATAAAACAGGGACAGTGATATATACCGCAGAGAGATATCAGATACTAGGGACTGCCTCAGTAGAGACAATTGGAGCATGTGAAAGATTTGTAATGTTCAGACATGTTCCACTGGTCCACAGGGATGCAGGGAAGAAGAGGAAGCAAGCGGGGGTGCCAGAGAGGGAAACTTGAAAGCAGAACAGAGAAAACAGAGAGACACACACAGCCGGTGGGCTGCAGAGGTGAGGAATTGCATGTTGATTTGAAATCACTAGCCAAACCTTAGGCTGCAGGCTTCCAGTGTTCACCTAGTGCTGAAACATCAAAAAATCCTAGCTCTCGACATTGCATTGTATGGCTATGTTTCCTACCCCTTTTGCTGATGTTGTTCTAAAGACCAACAAAACAAATTCCTGCCCCTAATAAGAAAACAGGGAGAGAGGGAGAGGGACGGTAATCAACTTGACAGTGTCCTTTCTTTTCTCTCCTGACCTTTAATTTGGCTGCTTTGGATATTCTCCATGGGACCTATCAGGCATCGAGGCAGTGATGCATGATGCTATTTTCGTGTTTCCCCTTTCCCAGTGCAGACCCTCAGCATCTCATTTGTAGTTGTTTGCTGTCATAGCTGATCTCTTTAAGGACTTAAGGGAGAGAACACTTTAATTAGCCCTGATGAAGTGGCGAGAACCAAGCAGAACCTGTTAGCTCTCAGCCTACGTCTGTTTGCATTTCCTGACACCGATACGTGAAGCTTTCCTTACACTGCTCTTTTACAGTATCTTGACATAATTATTATTATTGTTTCTGGTTTTTCCAAAATATTTGAAATATGTTCATCTTGCAACCTCGTTGTCACCTACAAAGGACTTACAAGCAATGCGGCATGTTAGAAAAAACACATTGATGTGATGTGTGGATTTACATTTGTCGAGTTCAATGTAAATAAAAGGGAAGGATGTCAATGCATCATAGATAGGAAGCTGCCTTATGTTAGGGCCACATTATTTAAAGCACCACTATAACACTTTAAGCAGTCAATTTCACTCAAAGAATTCTGGGAGCTGTAGTTTGCTTAAGGGGCTGAGAGTTATTAGGAGACCCCTATTTCCCTCCCAGAACTAGAGTGGCCTAACAATCAATTTGTTTTCCCAGGGAACTCTGGGAACTGTAGTTCTAGGTGGGGAGTAGGAGTCTCCTAGCAACTCTCAGCATCCTTAACAAACTACAGCTCTCAGAATTCCTTTTGGGGGAAGCCATTACTGTTTAAAGTGGCATCACAGTTCCTTAAATATATGGTGTGAATGTGGCCCAAGTCAGACCACTGGTCACCTAGCTCCATATTGTCTTCACTGACTGGCAATGGCTTTCCAGGGGTTCAGGCACTGGTCTTTTCCAGGCCTACCTGGAGACACCTGGAGAAGGATCTGGGTTTTTCCGTGTGCAAAGACCTTCTATGTGCTCTACCACCTGTGTGAAAGGGCCATTGTAGTTAATAACACTAGAGGAAGAACGTTCCTGTTGCCACAACATTACTTCAACGGAATATTTTGTCAAGAGGAATCACTTCACACATTCAAAGCCAGTCATTAACAGCTGCAATTCTATGCATCTCTGCTCAGAAGTAAATCCTTTTGAGTTCATTGAGTGGGGATGGATTCCAGCTTAAGTGTACAAAAATCAAACCTAGAGACATTTATTCATTGTTCATTTCACTCATCTAAACCTCATCTTTCCATCCAGATGTTGAAGGCAGCTTTTGAAAGTAAAAAAACAACAACGGAACAATTGCAGGACCGTTAATGTCTGAAGAAGAGAGAACACAGAGTACAGCAGCAAGCCGTCTAAAAATAGTAGGCCTGTGTGAAAATTGAATCCAAAAATTTTCCGTGCTTTTGCGGCGGCGGCAGCGGGGGTGGGGGGAATGGAGCAGGGGTTTTTTCAGGGAGGGGACATTTCACTTCCAACTACTGTATATTTCACTGTATATTTTCCAGTGGCAACCTCTCCCTGATTTTTGAAAATCTGGAAAAAATATTAGAAGTTTCAGATCACATAACATTGAATGAAATCCTGCTGTTCATATTGATGAATCTATGGGCTAAGAGAGAAGGAGAGGAAGGCGGGGGCAATCCCATTGTCCCTCCCCCATCTTAAAATAATATAAAACCACATTAAGACAAGATTGACAGCTGCTTCCCAAAATTCACAGATTGCAAAACTGTAAAGTAAAGGTAAAGGGACCTTTGACCATTAGGTCCAGTCATGGCCGACTCTGGGACTGTGGTGCTCATCTCGCTTTATTGGCCAAGGGAGCCGGTGTACAGCTTCCGGGTCATGTGGCCAGCATGACTAAGCCGCTTCTGGCGAACCAGAGCAGCGCACAGAAATGCCATTTACCTTCCCGCCAGAGCGGTACCTATTTATCTACTTGCACTTTGACGGGCTTTTGAACTGCTAGGTTGGCAGGAGCAGGGACCGAGCAACGGGAGCTCACCCCATCGCGGGGATTCGAGCCGCTGACCTTCTGATCGGCAAGTCCTAGGCTCTGTGGTTTAACCCACAGCGCCACCCGCGTCCCTTTGCAAAACTGTAGTGAAGGCTATTTCACTGAATATTCTCCTTGGGTGGATTGAAATTCTTCAACCATTGTGCTTCTCCTTCCTTTGCGTAAGTGCTGTAGCTCAGTGGTAGAATATCTGCTTTGCATGCACAAGATCCCAAGTTCAATCCCCGGCCTCTCCAGGTAGAACTGGAAGAGACCCTTGTCTAAAATCCTGGAGAGTCACTTCTGGTCAGTGTAGACAGTACTGAACTAGATGGACCAATGACCCTGATTCATTTATAAGATAGCCTCCTATGATCTTGTATATATTCCTATGATCTTGGGCCAATCTCTTTCCCTGCTTATCCTACTTCTCAGGGCTGTTATGTGACTAAAAGCGAAGTGGCAGAATCGTGTGTGCTGATAACAATGTAATTAGAAATAAAAGAAATGTTTTCATTAGCGGTGTCTTAGGGTGATTCAGCACACCCCTAGTTTATTTTTCATTAGAACTGGCAATCACACAGCCATAGGGGGGCAAGAGGAAGCCAGCCATAACTGTGGAAATATGGTTTTCTAAGTGGGATGCCTTTGGATGGCTGTTGGCAAGGTACATTCTTCTGCCTAATTTACAAAGCAGATGCTTTGAAAATAAAATAAGCCCCTTTGCCACTCATCCCTTGCACTCAGCAGGACTGGCATTCACTCACGAACTCCTGCATCAAAGACAAATGAATCAGCCCCAGCACTTGCTTATAAATAGTATCCCCATTAAACGCTCGACAGTAACAACTCCGAAAGACAATGGGCCCTGTGTGACTCTCACACGCACAACAGTTCATAGGCTTCACTCCAATTATCCCCAAAGATAATTGTAAAGATAACACCGTTTAAAATATCTAATGTTTTATTCAATATTGTGGCGAGTTTCAATTACTCCCAATTATAATTCAACAGCTTTCTATTTAAAACAATTATTGTCTTTTCCAACATGCTCCAAGTCAAATAAATGGCATGCCACTATTCATCATTGGTTTGTGCCTTTTCCTTCTTTCTCAGGACCCCCACCTTCCTTCTTGCTTCTGGTGCTGTCTCTTTGATTCTTGTCAAAGATACCCAACTCTTTCCTCAAAAGGCGTCTTCCAAATAGGCAACAACATCATGTTTGCTTGAAAAGCAGATATCCTGGAAAAGTCCCCAGGTGATCAAAATCAATTCCATTCATTCGAATCAATAGGAGTCCATTGAGAGGCCATAAGGATCTGCTTACAGCAGCATTTTGAGTCTAGCACATGGGTAGGCAAACTAAGGCCCAGGGGCTGGATCCGGCCTAATCGCCTTCTAAATCCAGCCTGCGTGCTGTCCGGGAATCAGCATGGTTTTACATGAGTAGAATGTGTCCTTTTATTTAAAATGCATCTCTGGGTTATTTGTGGGGCCTGCCTGGTGTTTTTACGTGAACAGAATGTGTGCTTTTATTTAAAATGCATCTCTGGGTTATTTGTGGGGCATAGGAATTCGTTCTTTTTTATTATTATTTTCCCAAAATATAGTCCGGCCCCCCACAAGATCTGAGGGACAGTGGACCGGCCCCCTGCTGAAAAAGTTTGCTGACCCCTGGTTTAGTAACTCCCCAGCATGGAGAGGTGGGAAAACCCTGCCCATCTCAACTCAGAGATGGGAAACTAGATTCAGCTGGATCAGCTGTTGGTGCTTGCAACTGAAACCGAATCAAATGAGCTTGCAGAGTCTCCTTTGAAAGAACCTCTGCATAGGGGTGGATAGATCTGTCAATTTTGGTTCTCTCTGTTTCTCATTTCCCCCCGAATCTTAAATCCAAGTCTCCACATTTCTGCAGTATTTTGCATTTTTTTAGAAAGAGAATCCTCTTGAAAACTTGTAAGCGTTTCAGTGCAAATTTCTCCTAATATACACATTTTGTCCAACAAACACACACACACATGATTGCAAAACAATTTCCTCGATATAAACAATTTTAAAAGGTATTTTCATGGAAATGTGCATTTTTATGCACATTACTTGGCTGGAGAACTGCATTGAAAAATTCAGAGAGGTGTGAATTTCGAAGTCTCCAACTATAGTGCCCCCTAACATTTGCCTTCTTGGCCTACAGTCCTGGGCCACTACACTACAGGGAGAAATGTTCCATTCATTCACGAGATATACCAGCTCACTCTGTTGTCTGTGTTGCAGCATTTTGTCATTGCTGGGCTTGAGTAATCCAAAAACCTTCTGACACACAGCAATCAACAGGATCCAAACTCGAGTGTGCAGTGAGTGAATAAAGACATTTCCCCAAAAGTATTGAATCAACCTCTTTTTACAAATCTCCCAGACCTCATGCGTGGAATTAAATTCCCAGAATAGCAAATGGGGAAAAGGCTAGGGTGTCAGTGGCTGGGCAGAGGAGGAGGACAAGGGAGAGGGGGGTGATGTCAGGGACTGGACAGAGGATGAATGGTGGAGAACGCCTCCTCATCCTGACCCTTCCAGGGAGGAGGAAGAGGAAGACAGTATAGATTTACAACAGTGGTTTGCGGAAGGTCACGGCTCAAGGGCAGATGAGGGGAAAAGTGGAGAAATCATGGGAGAGGAGGAGCAGGCAGAGCTGGAGCAGCAGTTGGCTGACATGTTATCATTCGAAAGCAATCTAGACCCACCATCTCCCAGAAGCTGGAGAGTCTTAAAAGTAGGAGAGCAAAGAGCCCGAAGACAGAGGGCACTTAGCAGCACCCATAGAGGAGGTGGTGATAATGACGGATGAGGAAGTGGGAGAGACGGGGGGTGGAGATTCACTTGGGACAACACCATCATCCAAGAGGCTGGGTTCTATGGCCTCTCTGTAAAGTCTGAAATAAAAAAGGACTGTAAGAAACTTTTCCTTGTCTTTATACATTCCTGGGCAACCAGCCAGGAGCTGCTGGCAGCACCTTGACAGAGGGGAAGAGTGTGCTAAGCCCTTTCTTGAAATTATACATGTGTATAAAAAGTGATTCAACTACATGTGGCCACACTTTGGGGATCAAATTTTAGAACAGCAGATGTACCTCCGGAAACCACCTTCTGGAAGTGCCTCAAGAGAAGGAGGAAGAAGATTAGGTTTTCCTTCCTTTATTTGTTCCTATGCTCTGGTGTGAGCCAACTGACTTGTGCCACAGGGCAGAATGAAAAAACACCCATCTTTTGGTCCCACACTCTGGCACAGCCAAAACAGGATATCTGGGATTGGGACCAGAAGGCAGGACAGATTCTGTCTATCTGGGATGTCCCACTTAAAACTGGACAGTTTACCTAATGCATTATGAATTATCCTGATGCAACAGGAATTTGTTCATTTTTTATTCAATAAAATCACCAGAACAGTAACGATTCATTAACTGCATACGAATAAACAATAATACTGGATTTAGAATTTGTGAAAAACTTTGGGCTCCACATTGCATTTCAATCATTTCAGAGTAGACTAATCAGACATGCTTTTTTGGAGAGAGAGAAATACTGTTGCTGTGAACTATTCATTGTGCTCAATTTCTTCATTTGCTGTTTGTTGTGTTTAAGAGCCCCGTCCTGTGTATGTTTACTTAGAAGTGGGTCAGTGGGCCTTTGGGGAAGAGCCATAGCTAAATGACACAGCATCTGTCTTCCATGCAGAAGGTGCCAAATTCAATCCTCGACAACTCTAGGTAGGGCTGGGAGGGACTCCTTCCTAAAACCCTGAGAAGCAGCTGCCAGTCGGTATAGCCAATAATGTATGAGAGGGACCTATTTTCTGGCTTGAAATAGGGCAGCTTCCTGTGTACCTAATTTTCTGAAATGGGCACAGAACAGTGTGGCAAATGGTATTTCCAACATGTTTCCTTTTTGTCGTGCAATGTCTGTCTATGCTAGAGCTATTCTGAGGCCGATTTGCTGCTGAGGTGGCACGATTAAAGAATTAACCGTTGTCCTAACTGTCCATCCTTCTTGCCTCCATCAAAAGCAATTAATGTGGATTATGTATATTTTGTAAGGGGAATGTCTTTCATTTCAATGCTTGGTGTGACTCCAGGGAGGATTAGGGAGCCCAACTGAATGAGATAATTTGCATAAATTAGGTCACATGCAACTAATAAATTTGCATTCAGATAGGGGTCTTTGTGATGAAGCAATGTCTTATGTAGCACTGGGCAAAAGAGCTGGTTCTATAGCTTTACTCCCTTGGTTCTTAGCTTTACTCCGCCTGAAAGCTTAGTGGTGTGTTCTGACACACATTTCCACTTTATTATTGCCCAGGGAGAGGGCATGCATTTTTTCCCCCCGAAGTAGTTTATTAAAAAGCTTTTATCTTCTTTCCCCTCCCACACACCCATCTTGTAGAATTGGAATTATTCTAAAACTGGATCTATAACTGCAAGCATATGAGATGGGACACTTTTAAGGACGTGGGAAGATAGCTGCCTTTTACTAGGTCAGATGATGAACAGGAGAGGAGCTCTGCTGGATCAGGCCAGTGTCCCATCCTCACATCGGCCAATCAGATGCCTGAGGGGAAACCCTCATGCAAGGCCTGAACACAACAGCCCTCTGCCCACTTGAAGTGCTAAGCAACTGGGAATCAGGAGCACACAGCTTCTGACAGTGCAGGGAAAATGCAGCCAATGGCATAGCGTTGTTCACCAGCACCCGGGTGTGTGTGCATGCACATCCACACTGGCTGGTGGTGGGACATGGAAGGTGATCTTCACCCTCTGCACTCCCCAGTCTGCACTGACGGGCGGCCACTCATTCACATGGGGGATGGGGTGTGGAGGGTGATCTTTGCCTCTGTTCTTCAGCCCCCACTGCCACCAGGTGGGGGCTCAGCCACTGGGTGGGCCACAGAGGACATGTGATGGGGCTTTCTGGGGGGGCACCTGGTTTGTGCCCTGCCAGCTTGTGTGCCCAGGGCAACAGGTCCCCTACATCAACGCCTCAGGGAATCCTATCCCTCCCATGGTGGGATGCCAAGAAGCATGGGGGGAAAGAGTTCTTACCAAGTGTCTGACACTTTGTGACCCCATGGACCAGAGCACACCAGGCACTCCTGTCTTCCACTGCCTCCTGCAGTTGGGTCAAACTTACGTTAGTAGCTTCAAGAACACTGTCCAACCACCTCGTCCTCTGCCATCCCTTTCTCCTTGTCCCCTCAATCTTTCCCAAC